GCTGTCATGTAACCATTAATAAAGCCTTGAAGCACATACAGGCAATCCTTTCTTTGCTATAGATACTGACAGTGACGAAAATCACCAAACCAATTACCAAGGTTTTCATCCAGTTAGGGTACTTGTTATCTGTTGTTAGTAATGGCACAAAAATAGATAAAGGTTAGTGCTGCCCATTTATCAACTTTAAGTTTCGGAATTGTTGCAACTGCCAAATCTCATTCGTACATGCACATATTCAAACCTGATGCCTCAAGACACGCTTTCTCTCTCTCTCTCTCTGTTTTTGGAGCTTGACAGCTCTTAGTCACTGTACTGCACTGTCAACGTCTGCAAAACATTTTTTGAGCTCCGCAGAAAAAAAGAATATCATTGTTTGGAACAACAATATTATTATGTTGGACATTATTCTATTAAAATAATCTCCTGCAATAAATAACCTGAAACCACAACTCGATCTCTGAGTTTTTGTCTCCTCTTCTATGTAATGTTTGCACTTTATTAAACCTGTTGGGATCTGTTTTGTGCTTGTTGAATCAGTAGCAAAACACTTCACAGTGAGGTTTTAACCCTTAAACACATACCTCGGGTCTTTAGTGACCCAGGACATCATTCACTTCTCTCCTCCTTATTCATGTTTTAAAGTAAGACATTAACCTTCTTATTCCTCAATCAATTCATTATAAACAATATAATAATAATTTTTTATATAAAAGAATGCCTGTTTTCGCATTAATTTTTGTAAAAAAAAAATTATAGGGTCGCTGACGACCCGAGGTGTGTAACAGTGTAAGTATATTTATCTGCACAACAATAATTGAATCTTTATTGATGGCTGAATAAGTTTATTCCACAAGGTGGCAAATAGTGTCTGATTAATGATTAATGCACACTTAAATAGTGCACACAATTAAATAGTACACTAATGTACACTAATGATTAATGTACACTAATGATGGTGACGTTTCACTCATAGTTACCGCAGGCAGAAAACAAAAGAATAGGAAGTATCATCAGCAAAACTTGAATAGGCTCAGTGATTTACTGCAGAGCAAGTACTGAACGCAGTCAAACATTAGTGTCACTGTCACTTGATGGTTGATCTGGTGAAGAAACTGTCGGTGATCAAAATATTGATTTTGAAGATGTTGAAAATGATAGTTTTGAGAATATGTTCGAGATGCTGAATACTGGGAAATTAGCTCTGACGAGGACAGTGACGATGGTATAAAACATCTGCTCAAACTGAACCCTTCCAAGATCCAAAAGGTAACAAAATATGCTTTATTTTATTCTTCTGTAATTGTTACTTTAATATCAGTCGAGTTTTATATTATTGCCACAGCACAGATAGAGATCCATCAGTGTAAGATATAGAATAAATATCCAGATATCAGATATCCTGATAAATACCCCTATAAATATCCAGGTCGCTAAAGACCCGAATATGTAATAATGATTGGCGAAACATTCATGCATTTAAGGGTTACATCTGTTCCTTAATCTAATTTCTTCAGAAAAGTGAAAATTGCTTTAGACAAACACCTAACTCCAGCTCTTCATTGTTAATTTGTATATATTTTACAAGTCTATTTTGCCTCTAAGCAGTGCTTTAAGAGGAGTTTAATGAGCATACGGCACACACAGGAATGACCCTTGGCAGGGCAAAAGGCTATGTCAGTAGATTGTTGGTTCTCGCCGAAGTGGTTTAATGCTTCATTGCCCAGGTGAGACAATTTGCTGAAGTCCAACAGTGCTTGCCGCCTCTGATCGCTTGTATATAACCTTAATTACCTGCAGTTGACTGCCCTCAGTGCTCGATAAGGCTTACCTCACCACTTCTGAGGCTCATTGGAGGCCACACGTCGTTCTACAGCGTTGCTCAGCCCTCATCCCAGACCTGTGGCTGTCTCTAGACGGTGCTTTGTACATAATTGAGCAACGGAGTTGGATGACCCCATGGAGGGAGCCGAGGGGCCATACATACTTTAATGAGCGATGTTTCACAGGTGAGTGGGGCACTTGAACCTGCTCCAGGATCTGAGAACACCATGAAATCCACTGAGCTATGAAAGAGCAATCATTGAGCAATAACACTCTTCTCTAGGAAGGCTGACAAACTGAGCCTGGAGTCGAACTTCATGGTAAAAAAAAAGTGCTGCATTGAATCATGGAGTAATATTGTTCACTTTCTGTCCTGCCATGACAGATTTATGTTATGAATTTTCTATTGATTTAAAGAAGTGTGGCATTTTTGATGTCCTCTGTATTTTAAATAAAGCCAGCTAACTTAAGTCTGTGCTTGTTATTAAGGTTTAACCACAGATAAATCCTTGTTAAAAATATTGTTAATATTGTAAAGCACTTCTAATGTAAAAAAACACAAAAATGAAATACCAAAGATCAAGGTCATGACAAACCATTATACACAGTTAGCAGAATCTATGACTCACTGTCTAAAGGGAATCACTCAAACTGCTTTTAATAAAGTTGATATGAATAATCATTTTGTGTCATAATGGCTCAGTATAACAACACCCGTAGTAATCAGTCGTCCTCCTCAACACACTTATTTTTGTTTGCAACTTTAGGGCAACATTCTGAGATTTTGATCTGAATAACAACAAATGCACCAGCAGTTTTGTTAATGAACACTAAGAACATTTTGCTATGACAATCCCTCCACTTCATAGTGGAGCAAAAATCTGGGTTAAAGTGAGGCACTTACAGTGATAGTGAATGAAGTAAATCCATAAAAGTTAAATTATTCAATAGACAAATAATATATGTGTTAACAAGATTTTCTGTGTAAAGATATATCTAAATTTACAACTACATCACCATGACAATGAAACAGCATAAATGTTTTAAACGTCACACCTCAAATAATACAACAATTTTAAGCAAATAATGAATGTGCTTTTATAAAATCATAAAATCATTCTTCAGTAAACTGCCCCATTCACTTCCATTATAAGTGCGTAAATGTAATTATGAAAACATAATTAAAAAAAAAAAGTCATGTAAATGTCATCATTTAATGTTGTTCCAAACCTGTTTGACTTTCTTTCTCTAGCAGAAACCAAGAAGATACTTGGAAGAATGCTTGTAACCAATCAGGTTTGGTTACCATTGACTTCCATTGTATGGACAAAAAAAAAACAGTGAGACATTTTCAAAATATCTTCTTTTGTGTTCCACAGAATAAAGAAAGTCATACAGACACGACATCAGGAACGACATCAGTGCAAGTAGCAAAGTTTAAATTTTTGGGTGGACTATCCCTTTAATTACAATGATTTCTAGAACTGCAAAACACTGTCAGCATTTTGCACGTTGGCACGAGCTACAGTATTTACGAGGTAGGTCGCAGGGGACAAACAGTGTATGAAATGTTGATGACAGGGACAGGCAGACCTTGCTGGCCCCGATCCGACAGCCTTGACATCCAGTGTCACTTTTCTTGACTGTTGCACTGGAGCGCAACGTCTTTAGTCTAACGTCAGAGTGGCAGTTTTTTAGGGTCAGTTGTCAAAGGCACAAAGGTAAAGCCAAGACAGTTCTTCTTGTTAAGTTCTTCAATATCATGTGTTTTCTGGGGCACCACAAATAACCTCCATTATGTCACAGAGACAGCTGCGCATATGGAGGCATTTCCCAGGAACGGTGTACGCCTGGAGCTGTGCCACATGGCACACTAAATCCCTCCGAAGTATGTGATAATATGGGAACCCCAGTCGACTCTCTTACTGAGAAAACTCTGCTCTTCACTGACCTTGTCATGAACTGTTCAAATAAACATGCAGGTGTGTCAGCGGCAAGGTAGGATTGCGCTGAACAAAAGTTGTTGAATGAAGTCTATTATGCTCACCAAGGCCTCATTTCTAATGATAAAATACAATAATACTGTTTAAAATATTTTTTGAAAGATTGTAATTTGTAATAATATTTCAATGTATTTTATTCCTGGCAAAGCTGAATTTTCAGCACCATTATACTCAAGTCTTCAGTCACATGATCCTTCAGAAATCATTCTAATATGCTAATGAGTGCTCAAGAAACATTTATTGTTATCAGTGTTAAAAACTTTTGGGCTGCTTAAAATGTGTCATAGTTTTCACAAAAATATTACGAATTCTTTGATGAATAGAAAGTAAAAAAAAAAAAAAAAGAATTTAAAATAGAAATTGTAACAGTTTTGTAGCATGTACTGTTACTTTTAATGCAACGGGGAAACAGGCATAAAAAAAAAAAAAAATTGTATTCTTTTTTTTCTTGTTATTGTTTATAAAATAACAATATAACAGGCTAACGACCCAAGGTGTGTAACAGTGTAAGTATATTTTTCTGCACAACAATAATAGAATTTTTGATGACTAAATAAGTTCATTCCACAAGATGGCAAATAGTGTCTGATACACAATGATGAAGTGATGTTTCACTCATATTACCACACGCAGAAAACAAAAGAATAGGAAGTATCATCAGCAAAACTTGAATAGGCTCAGTGATTTACTGCAGAGCAAGTACTGAATGCAAATAATAAAAAAATATTAGTGTGACTGTCACTTGATGATGGATCTGGTGAAGAAACTGTCAGCGATCAAAATATTGATTTTGAAGATGTTGGAAATGACGCTGAATGTACTGGGAAATGAGCTCTGACGAGGACAGTGATGATGAGTCAGACTGGTAACCCGAAAGTTGCGGGTTTGAAATGACTGAAGTGCCCATGTGCAAGGCACCGAACCCCCAATCACTCCCCGGTCACCACAGCAAAAATGGCTCCCCACTGCTCTGGGTGTGTCCACGGTTTGCAGTGTGTGTGTGTGTGTGTGTTCACTTCTCACTACTCCTAATGTGTGTACACTAACTTGCAGAGGACAAATTCCGAGTATGGGTTACCATACTTGGCCTTCACATGTCATATGTCAGCTAATCAGAATCAAGAATTTACCAATAATATATTAAATCCTACAAGTGTCATGTTTCTCACTTACTCAACAGTGTCCTCCCAGCTGCACCACTGTTGCTGGTCGAGAACCTCCATGTCCAGCTTGAACTTGACCAGGCAGAACTCCTCAATGGCATTTCCATAGTGACTGCTA